TAACATTAAGACAGTGTGTAGAGCTCCTCTAAGTAAGGGCGTGTGGCCGAGAGATAAACGAACCAGGGGAACAGAGCCAAGACTCTAAAAGTGAACCCGCACACGTGCAGAAACACGATTGTGACAGAGAAGGCAGGATGAGTCAGTGGGGCCAAGGTGTATTACTAAGTAAATGATGCTGGAACGATTGGCTCCCCATACAGGGGAAAAAATTAGAACCCTTCTCACACCACACGTGTGAGAGAAACACATCGATGGGTTGCCTCCTGCACGAGCCCCGACCAGGGCCTGGGCCGGGGAGGACCCTGCAACCACAGGTCCCAACCGGCTGGGCCTGAGCACATTTTAATTAATAAATGGAAAGAGCAAGGAAAGTCGACCACTTTGAAGGAAGTAACGCATCCGCATCTGGGAAGGCTCTACCCCACACAACGGACAACACAAAGAACACCCTTGCAGATGCCTGGATTCTCCTCCGGCCGGAGTCAGGTCCTCTCCCGTGAACCCCGGGTGGGCAGTCTTTTCTTAGATTAGCTAAACGAGGAATTTAGAGATTAGCCCACATGTAGGTTAAGACATTTTTTTTTTTATTTAGAATATATATATATATATATATTTTATTGATTTCAGAGAGGAAAGATGAGAGATAGAAACATCCATGATGAGAGAGCATCGTGGATCGGATGCCTCTTGCAAGTCCCCACTGGGGATCGAGCCCACAACCCGGGCATGTGCCCTTGACCGGAATCGAACCTGGGACCTTTCAGTCCGCAGGCCGACGCTCTATCCACTGAGCCAAACCGGCGAGGGCAAACAAAGACATTTTAAAATCGAGCCATTTTAAAACCTGGCCGGTTTTTCTCTGTGGTTACAGCGTTGGCCCGCCTACCCAGGGTCTTGGGTCCCATTCCCCGTCAATTCCGGGTACCTCCCTGGTCTGGGCGGTGCAGGGGGGGGGGGGGGGGGCAGTTGATGTGTGTCTCTCACATGCATGTTTCTCTCTCTCCTCTCCTCTCGCTCCTCCTCCTCCCTCTTTCCCTAACGATCAATGGAAAAAAATGTCGTCGGGTGAGGATTAAATAATAACAATAAAATAATAAATAAATAAATAAATAAATAAATAAATAAATAAATAAATAAAACGGAGCCAGAGCTGCCACGCCAGAGGCACTGCCTTGCACGCTTCTACCTCAAACCTTGGTCTGTTAAAACGGGACCAAATAATCGTTGGACCGGGCCTCGGACAACACTGTCCCAAAGCACTGCTGACAGAGACACCAAGAAGCCGCCATTGGGGCTCCGAGACGGAAAACTAAACACAATGTGTGAAGCGATCACCGGCGCCCGGCCATCGGCACCAATGGGAACGCCTCCCCATCAGCACCCGTTGCCGTTGTCCCCGATGGGCAGCACCTGGGCTCCTGTCTGAATGGATGGTTCCCAAGCAGCTCTTCTGACGCCGCTCAAATCAGTCCCGCTGTCCCTCCCTCTGAAGGGCCTTGTTATCTTTAGGTTAATGAAGTCTGGGTCATGTTACTGGGTGTTGATTCAAGGGCCACCCTAATCCACGTCCTCTGGCTCCCCCGACAGAGGACGTGGGCAACGAGGTGGGTAGGAGACCGTGGCCATCTGTCCGGTTCCGGAGCCTCGGCATCCAGGTCCCCTCTGAAGACGGCCGGCCACTCCGCCCCACGAAAAACCCCTGGCGCAGGGAGGGCTGCACCAGGGACAAAAACACGGAACCGGAAGAGGGAACCGAGTGCGTGGGCGCGCCCGAAACCTCCGCCAGTTTGCCGCGCCGCCGCCGCCTTCCTGCCGCACTGCGCAGGCGCGCAGACCGACCCCCGCCTGCCCCCCTCCTCCCACCTCTCCCCGGAGCCAAGGACGCCCGCCCGTAGCACTGAGCTTCTGCGCACGCGCCGTCCCGCCCCCCGGCCCCGGACCAATTGGAAGCGGCAGCGCCTGGGCGCCGGGGGCACGACGCCGTGGGCGGGGCCAAGACGTGAGGGCAGCGTGCTGGCGACACAGGGCGGTATATAAGTGAATACAGGCACCGCCCCTCGCCCCAGTGACTGAGCCGCCGCCGAGGACTCAGCAACCTCCCCCTTGAGCCCCCCTCGCTTCCCGACGCTCCGTCCCCCCTGCCCGCCTTCTCCCGCCGCAGCCTTCCGCAGGCCGTTTCCACCGAGGAAAAGGAATCGTATCGTATGTCCGCTATCCAGAACCTCCACTCTTTCGGTGAGCGACGCGGAGGGCCCGCGGGGAAGGCCCGGGTGGGGCGGCGGGGCTGTCTAGGCCCAGAGACGGCCCCGGGAAGGCCGCTAGCGCTCGGGCCTTTGTAAGTGGGTGCGAAGGGAACCTGTCTGTCCTCGAGGGCAGTGGGGATCGGGCCTGGGCCCTGGGTCGGCCCCTGAGCGTGACCGGAAGCCTAGGACGAGGTCAGCCCTTGGGCGGGCCCAGCGTCTCGGGTGGCGCATTTACTAATGGCTCCGGCCCCACCGCGGGCCACACCCGCCCCTCCCGCCACCGCGGCGTCACATCCTTTACGTCACCGCCGTTGTCCCGGGCCCCGGAGAGGGAGGCGGCCCCAGCCCTAGAGTGACAAACGCGCGCGCCAATGGGGCGGCAAGTCGGCCCCGCCTCGGAGCTCGGGTTCCGGTCGGTTGCATCAGCCGACTGGGGCGGTGCCCGCCCGCCCTGGCTCCCCCGACACGTGATCGGGGGCGGGCCCGGAGGCCCAGGCTTTTGGCGGGGCTTGGGCAGGAAGCCGCCCGTCCCCGACTGACCTGTTCCGGGGAGAGCCCACACGAGACATCATCTGATCTGACCCAGTTCTTGGCGATTTCAGGATTCGTTTTCTGCGCTCACCAGCGACCCAGTAGGGAGGGTGACGGTGGCCCCTGAGCCACCAGGGCTCTAAACTTCAGCCTTTCTTCCCAGACCCCTTTGCTGATGCAAGTAAGGGTGATGACCTGCTTCCCGCTGGCACTGAGGATTATATCCATATAAGAATTCAACAGAGAAACGGCAGGAAGACCCTTACTACTGTCCAAGGGATCGCTGATGATTACGATAAAAAGAAACTAGTGAAGGCCTTTAAGAAGGTAGGTCTTCATTGGCGGGATGGACCTTGAGTGTGCTCACATGGGGGCGCTGTGCTATTTTTCTCCCCCGGAAAGGGATGATGAGGATGGCCTGGCCTGATCTGCCTTGCTTTCCCTTGCAGAAATTTGCCTGCAATGGTACTGTAATTGAGCATCCAGAATATGGAGAAGTAATTCAGCTGCAGGGTGACCAGCGCAAGAACATATGCCAGTTCCTTGTCGAGGTGAGTTGGGTCACTTGCTGCATTGGTGTCTCTGCCCTGGCTAATCGCAGATCCTGCCTCATCTATTAATTTCTGCTGGGAAAATTAGCCGTTTCATTTTGTAAGGCTGGACGAAATGGTTGAGTTTCGAAGTACATAGACATGTATTTCCAAAAACAGGAGGAACTTGTCTGCCTTGGTTTACTTTTTTATGGCTCTACTTTCCCTTTTTAAAAAATACTTTATTGACTTAAAACCTTTATTGTTGAAAGTATTATATATGTCCCCTTTTTTATGGTTCTACCTTTAAAGGTTGCAAATTTAAATTGTGTGCAGACAGGTACTAAACTAAGGAAGTCTGGTTGGCTGTTCCTCCTAAGTGCTAAAATCTGTTACATTGTTAGTATTTAGCTAGGTACCCTGAGTTGAGAACCACTGTGCTCCCAGTGGTTGGGGTATGCATCTTGGCTCTTGGACTTCCCTTGCCCAGTGTAGAAGCAGGAAGATAGGACTATTTTGCTCCAGAATTGGAGACTTGAACTCTCTCAGTCTACTCTGTAAAACTCTGCCCTTTTATTTTTTTGCAGATTGGACTGGCTAAGGACGACCAGCTGAAGGTTCATGGGTTTTAAGTGCTTTTGGCTCACAGAAGCTTAAGTGAGGATTTCTTTGCAATGAGTAGAATTTCCCTCCTGTCCCTTGTCACAAGTTTAAAAACCTCACAGCTTGTATAATGTAACCATTTGGGGTCTGCTTTTAACTTGGACTAGTGTAACTCCTTCATGCAATAAACTGAAAAGAGCCATGCTGTCTAGTCTTGAAGTTCCTCATTTAAACAGAGGTCAAGCAGTAGGCGCCTGGCAGTGTCCAGCCTGAAACGGAGCAATACCGTGATGTTTCAGCCAAGCCCATGTCTGGCCAAAGCTCCTCACAGAGTTCCCTGCCCTCAGAGAATGTCACCGCCTGAACAGCCTTCCGTGAAGCTGGGAGGAGAGGGGTAAGGCAGCAGCGGCATGTGCACTACTAGAGGGAGCCTTCCGCAACCACAGATCTACACCTGACCCGGTGATGGAGCTTAGAGCAAGCAGCCTGCCACCTTCCCCCCCGTGAGGTGTAAGGACTTGTGGCTTGCCACCAAGGTCTTTTTGACCAGACAGATCCTAGCTCATTGTTGTCCAAACACCATAATTTGAGGCCAACCTTCTTATCAGAGTTAAACTTTTGACAAGGGAACAAATTTCAAACTGAAGTGTCAGTCATGTAGCTAGCTGTAGAGCTTGCAACTTCCTAGCAACAGCTGCCCAATGCCATGTGAAGTAAAGAAACAAATGATTTTTGGGGTGTTCTTTTTTCCCTCCTTCAGTTTTAATGTTATGTTATGTATTTAAACCCTTATTTAAATAAAACTTGTTTTCAGAAACACCTGACTTGCAGATTCTATTTTATGTATAGTCAATATCGTGTGTGTGAAAGAACCACAGAAGTGGGCAGGGAGTCCGTCTGACCCAGAGCTTCTCAACTGGGGCCTGAGCAAATAGGGCAAGAAAACGGTTAGTGAGCTTCTATAAGTTTCCCAAAAGGACAGACATAGTGTGGGGTTCACCTAATCTCCAAACCCCTAGAAAAGGCATGCAGAAGTGTGCTTAAAAAATTAGGTTTGTAGAATTAAAAAATATAGTGACAGATGTGTTTGTAAACAAATTAATATCAGGAGGCTATCCCTGACAAAGGACAATGAATAGTAAAGTATCGTGTACTCCAGGGTCCATTCTGTTAAACACAAAATACAATCCCGCATGTGGATCATAAACCAGTCCTAACCAGATACTGAAATATAGGCTTCCAACTTCTAAGAAAAGTTATAAGGAATCAACACTTCCTGTTTGTCGCCAGCCCCCATTTTGTAGATCAAGGTCAAACTAGAATGTGGAGGTTGTCTAATGAAAGGCTGAGCCAATGACAAATGCCCTGAAAATAGAAGAGGATTCTAATCACAGTGGTAGAGGCTTAGAACACAAGATCTTACAAAATCTGTTGTAACAACTCACCACTTAGTTCCCAACTGGTGGCATTGTTCAAAACATTTGGGTGATATTTTTAAATCAAGATTTAACTACAACAAAAGATTTAACTTTACCCAGAGCGACTTCTAGAAGCAACACTGAGGGCCAGACCCACGGAGAAGCACAGAAGGGGGGATGAAATAGGGAGTCCTGCCATAGGTGGCTGTGCAGGTCCCGAGTGAGGCTGTTAACTGGTGCCTTTTAAGGACCTGCAGGGATTATTCTGAGATACGCTAGCAACACCAGTATTAAGCTGTCTACAACCAATCAAAACAATTATCTGAACAAACAGGAGGTTTGTAAATGCCCTAATTCGATTGATGTGACATGGGTGTATCTCGGGCTTGACGTAATAAAGCAATGTCTCCATTTGATGGTTGAGAACTGAGGTGTGGAAATGACAAGGTTAATAAGTGATAGAGTCTTATCTAGAACCCAGGTAAACTAGAACCCTGTCTGTTCTTCCCATCATGACCTGTACCTTCACAATTTAAATAACTCAATGTACAGACATTGTGTCTTGATTCATGCAGTGTACCTGGGGATCACAGGGCAAGCAAAGGTGAGTCAGCAGACACCCTGATGGGCTGTAAGACCAGGGTAGCCTTGCTGTGAGGCAGAAAGGGGCCAGTGCCATTACTTGGCTTAGCTAAAGAGCATAGAATCTGAGGATTGGGAAGTCCCCACTCTCATCCACGCCCAGGGGGGCATGTGAAGGGGCATTCTAGGCAAGGAGGCCCAGCAGTGAAAGCGCCCGGTGGGTATGAGGGCTGGAACAAAGGCCCTGCAAACACTGCCTCAGTATGTATCAGGCCTGTGCCACGCACTTAAGTATACATCAACCCTGATTTAACAGTCGGGACTCAGCCCCAGGTTAAAATAGGTTCAGAGAAGTGACTATATCAGAAAGTAGGTGGAGAGAAGGGAGTGGAGGAAAAAGAGGGGTGGGAAGTTGGTGTGAGATCCTCGTGGGCTCAGTCACAAGCCGAGATCCACCCCTTCCCCCACGTCCTCCCCTCTCCCCTGCCCCACCCCAGGCAGCAGCCCTCCTTTGCCCACCCTCTGCAACAGAGACAAACATTTCTAAAAATGGTGTTTCGTAAAAGAGTGGGTTTAAGAAATTAAAGTTGGTCAGCTAGAACTACACAAGAATTTACAGCTACTTAAAGCCTCTTCAAATTGCTGTCAACTCTTTAAATAAATAGGTAAAAGGAAGTATATTTGATACCCAAGCCAGTTTGGTTCAGTGGATAGAGTCAGCCCATGGACAGAAGGGTCCCAAGTTCAATTGCGGTTGCAGGCTCTATCCCTGGCCCTGATTGAGGCACGTGCAGGAAGCAACCAATTGATGTTTTTTTCTCTCTGTCTCTCCCCCTCCCTTCCACTCTCTAAAAATCAATGGAAAAATAGCCTTGGGTGAGGATTAACAAAAAAAAGAAACAGTGTATTTGGGAACTGAATATTCTACCAAGTAGCTCTAGCATTAACCCCCTTCCTCATTTGCCATCCTTGGTGTCAGGGTTAGAAGGCTTTGAAATTAAGAGCTTGACTAATTTTTTTTCCCCAGGAGATAATTCTTTCAAAATGAGCACATAGCCTAAGGTCTCGATAATTTCTTTTTTTCTCTTTTGAGTTTTTTCTTTGTTTTTGTAAATTTCTTATACTCTTTAATCGTAACTCAAATATTTATAAAATATATGTCCACATGATAAAGGCCGTACATGACAAAGCTACAGCCAACATCATGCTCAATGGGCAAAATGTTCATAAAAGGCACTGTTCCTGGGGAGCTTGCTAAACACTGAGATTGTGGACCCACCCAGAACAGCTAGGCTCTCCTGTATCAGGGGACAGTGGGCAGGGCCCACCTGTTTTCCAAGGCCTACAAAGGTGTCTGAGCTGAAAAGAACTGTGTCATCTCTCAAATCTGACCCAACAACTGCAAACTCAGAAGGAATAATTGTTTAACACAACAAAAGGTAACATTGGCAAGAAATGCAAACGATTCTTACATAACTCCATGTAAACATAAAGTTCTAGAGAAAGAACATTGTTATTTTGGAATCCTCGCCTGAGGTTATGTTTTTATTGATTTTAGAGAGAGAGGAAGGGAGAGAGAAACATCCATGTGAGAGAGAAACCGGAGATTGAACCCCCAACCCAGGTATATACCCTGACCAGGAATTGAACCCGCAACCCTCTGGCACACAGGACATTGCTCCAACCAACTGAGCCACCAGCCAGGGCAAGATAGGTTTGTAAAGTTGATAAACATCTTTTCAAAAACATTACGAAAACCATGTCTGTTTGGCCTGTGGGTCCCTGTTATTCGTTTGGTATGAGGTATGACAGAGCCTCATGCTAGAATCCCCCGCCTACAAACTCCAACAAATGGCCCTGCCTTTAGGGCCAGAATATCTGGTCCCGAAGCTCTGAAGCTCTGACGTGGGGCCCAGGAACTGGCCTTTTTAACTATCAGCCAATTCCTCAGGAGGGCCACAAACCACCCTGGGGGAGCTATTGAGGAAACGAGCAGGGAAGCACGATTAGAGCTAAACTTCAGGGAAAGGAATCAGAAGTATTGTATTGAAGATCGTTTGAAAGGGGGTGGTAGAGGGTCAGAACTTGGTTACCAGCATTTGAGAAACTAGCCCGAGACTGGTGAGACTGTCCATGGCTTTGATCAGATTCTTAACAGAGCCACTACCCAAAACAGTTAAGAATCAGTGGTCCCTGGTTTCCTCCCGAGGCTAACACAGGCCCCAGGGGTTAACAGGTTTTCCAGGCCTATCACAACAGGCAGCAACAGTGCGTATTTCCATGTCAACTTGTAACATTAATAACTATTTAAAAATATTGGTAAATATCTCTAAAACCAACTGTGTGTCGGGTGGAAGGCGCACACACAGCAGCCTGGCTCCACGGTGCTCAGAAGCGGGTGTGACTCACTCGCTCCCTGGCCACTATTGCCAGCCACAGCCCAGCCACAGCAGTCTGAGCGTTGCACAGGTTAAATCATCTTTAATCATAGTCCTTTACGGTTAATTTATACCCAGCATGGACGATTGGTTAAAAACAGGAAACATAGGGAACACAAGATATGCTAACGTGGAGCACAAACATGTCAGTATTCGGTGTGTGCGGCAAGTCATTGATTCTCACTCTATTTCTGTGAAACAACAGGAAACGAGCACAAGGACAACGTCAGGGGCAGAGAGATGTGACATAGCTGGTTCCGTGATCCACCGTGGAGACAGAACTAAAGACCGCCGCTCAGCATCACCTGGGAACTGGTTAGGTGTGCAGAATATCAACCGCCTCCACACACCTGCTGAACCAATCTTCATTTTACCAAGTTTGAGAAGCACCGATGTGAACCATAAAAGCAGCAGACTTCAAATTGTGTTCTGCGAGCTGGTTAAAAACACACACACACACAACAGTATTATTATTAGTTTTCATTTTTTATAAGTGAATTTTTATGACAGTGTTAGATCTGCATTGAAATGCACAAAAACAGTTGAATACAGAAATCAATAATGTTGGGACAATTGGATGTCCACGTGCCAAAGAATGAAGTTGGACCCATACTTACCACCATATACAAAAATTAACTCAAAATGGATCACAGTCCTAAACATAAGAGTTAAAAAAAATAGAACTCTTAGAAGAAAATATGAGTTAATCTTCATAACGTTAGGTTAGGCAAAGAGTTCTTAGATATGACAATAAAACTGCAAGTGACAAAGAAAAAAAATAGATGAATTAGAGCTTATCAAATTCTAAAAACTTGTGCTTCAAAGGGTACTATCAAGAAAGTAAAAAGACGCCCAGCCTGTGTGTGGCTCAGTGGTTGAGCATCACCCTATGAACCAGGAGGTCATGGTTTGATTCCTGGTCAGGGCACATGCCTGGGTTGTGGGCTTGGTCCCCAGTGGTGGGCATGCAGGAGGCAGAGAATCAATGATTCTCTCTCTTCATTGATGTTTCTATCTCTCCTCCCTTCCTCTCTGAAATCAATAAAAATCCCTTTTTTAAAAAAAGTAAAAAGACAACCCACCAATTAGGAAAAAATATTTGCAAGTCATGTATCTGATAAGGGACTCAAATTTAGAATATATAAAGAACACTTACCATTCTTTATTAGACAACCTAATTGAAAAATGGGCAGAGGATTTGAATAGACATTTTTCCAAAGAAGATATTCAAATGGCCATTAAGTGCATGAAAAGACATTCACCATCACTAGCCATCAGGGAAAGGCAAATCAAAAGCACAGAGAGATACTGCTGGGACGACTCTAGTAAAAGAGATGGACCACAACAATTTTGGGTGGGGGATGTGGAGAAATGGGAACCCTCAGACGTTGCTGGTAGAAATGTAAAAATGGTGCAGCTGCTGAGGAAAATAGTCCGAAAGTTCCTCAAAAAATTAAACATAGTGTTACCATGTGATTCAGCAATTCCACTCCTAAGTATATCCTCAAGTGAGTTAAGAACATATATTCACACAAAACCTTGTACACAGTATTCATAGCAGCATTGTTCACAATAGCCAAAAGGCAGGTACAACCGAACCTAACATCAACCGATGAATGAATTTAAAAACTGTGGTGTATCCATACAATGGAATGTTATTCAGGAAAAAAAAAAAAAAGGAATAAAATACGGATACATGCTGCAACATGAATGAATCTTGAAAACATTATGCCAAATGAAAGAAGAAAATATATATATATATATTAGAGGCCCGATGCACGAAATTTGTGCATCTGCCTCGGCCCCTGCCACTGCAGCTTCATCCAGAAGGTCGCCCTTCATCCTCTGCCAGGGATAGTTTGGAGTCAGATGGGTTTATAAATACTGGAGAACTTCAGTAAGCCTGAAGAAACACACGGTGCCTTTCCCTTCCCTCAAATAGCCTTTCACAGTAGCCAGTGACGTCATGGCAAAAGCAGCCATCAATATCTCCAACCTACCCCATTCTCTGGCTCAGTAGCGACAAAGTGAAGGGAAGAGAAAGATACACCATAGAGGGAACAGGAAAGCAGCAAGAAGATTTTTTTTAATGCTTATTGGAATCAAACTGCCCAGGTTCAAGTCTCAGTTGTGCATCTGATGAGCTGTGTCCTGGGCAAATCACCATGTTGAGTCTGGGATTTGATTTTACTTACTTAGAGCAAGTTATCCTACTAGTGATTCCGCAGTGCTGGCAGAAGATACAAGACTCCAGGGTCAGAGACAACTCACTTTGTTACTCACACCCCCAGCTAGCAGCATGATTTGCATCAATTCCTCTTACCCCACAAGCTCCTTGGTGATGACATAATATGGACCCACAGTGGTGGTATCTCTGCTGAGGACCACTGAGCTTGGGAAATCTATTGGTTTTGGTTTGTTTCTAATTTTTTAAAATATATTTTTATTGATTTCAGAGAGGAAAGGAGAGGAAGAGAGAGAGAGAATCATCAATGATGAGAGAGAAATCATCAGTCGGCTGCCTCCTGCATGCCCCGCACTGGGGATCAAGCCCACAACCCGGGCACGTGCCCTGACCAGGAATCGAACCAGTGACCTCCTGGTTCATAGGTCGATGCTCAACCACTGAGCCACGCCGGCTGGGCTGTTTGTTTGTTTTTTAATCTATTGTTTTTCCAGTCAGCAGCAGCAAGCTTGCTCTTTGACCCATAGGGAGACATTACCTCATGCCTTGAGGTTACTCACTTCAAACACAGCCCTGAGACACGGTGCAGGTAGAGACAGGTCATGCCCTGCATTCTTGGCGCACAGGAACGCTCAAGGCCCGTGGTGGATTGCTTCTACCAACAATCACCAATCTCGGTATCTCAGTTTCTTTGGCTATAAACTAGGGGCCATCGTATCACCCTTCTTGTGGGGCTGTGATGAGGATTATAAGACAAGTGCTCCCTAAATGTCAATCGCCATTATTAGGGGAAGAGGGAGGTGAAAACGCGTTGTAGATGTCAGCAGGCTTACAGGGAGGAGAAGTTCAAGTAAGGGGTAAGGAGAGGCCTCTCTGCTCACTTCCCCCACCACAACATTCAGGACACTGCTTCCCCTCCAAGAGACAAGGAACAAAGACCTGCTTGATCACCATTGGGTCCCCAGGGTCAGCACCGTGCCTGGCACAGAAAAGCATTTAAAGAAAAAAAATATTTTTAATCCTCAACCAAGGATATCGTTTTTAAAAATATATTTTTATTGATCTCAGAGAGGAAGGAGAGGGAAAGAGAGAAACATCAATGATGAGAGAGAATCATTGATTGGCTGCCTTCTGGGGATGGAGCCCACAACCTGGGTATGTGCCCTGACCGGGAATTGAACCGTGACCTCCTGGTTCATAGGTGGACACTCAACTTCTGAGCCACGCCAGCCAGGCCTCACCCAAGGATATTTTTCCACTGATGCTTAGAGAGTGGGAGAGAGAGGGAAAGACAGAGAAAAACATCGATGTGAGAGAAACACATCGGTTGGTTGCTTCTTGCACACGTCCTGACCAAGGCCCGGGCCGGGGGAGTGGGGGCCTGCAACCAAGGTACGTGCCCTTGACTGGGATTGAACCCAGGACCTTTCAGTCCACAGGCTGACGCTCTATCCACTGAGTTAAACTGGCTAAAATTTTTTTTAAAAATAAATAGATGAATGAATGAATGGATGAATGAACAAATGAAAAAGTGAAGGCACAGGGCTCTGAGCAAGCAGGAGGGTTTTGGATGAAGGGCCCTGGGGGAGGGACTGCACCCTCCAGTGATGGAGGAAAGGAGAAAAGGACAGACGGGGCTCATATAACTATGGTCATGGCCGGGAGAAGGGGACTGACAGTCAGATAACCTTGGAAGTAAAGGGAGAGATGATACACCAGGTTGCCAGGCAACAACCCAGCTGCAGAATATTAATCTGCAATGGAATCAACTGGCCACTTTCAGGTACTTTCCTGTTTGCACGGGGAGGGGTACAGGAAGCGGGGGTGTCCTCTGTCAAGAACTGGGGAACAGCCTGGCAGGTTCTGAAGCGGAAGAGGAGCCGCCAGCCGGGTGCATCCCACATCACTGAAATGACAAACCGTGGGAGCAGGCTGGGAGGGAGGAGAGTGAGGCCAGGTGGGGCAGAGGGAGACCCAGGCAGGTGGGGGAACTGGAGGTCGCAGGGAAGGTCGATTGGGCTTCTGGAGGGCGGGCCAGGAGGCTATGGGTGAGGAGAGGCAGCAGTACTCGGAGTCCAAGAAGACTGCCCGGTTCCCAGCTCGGCTCCCTCATCCCACCTGTGGGGCCTGCGGCGAGCGCCTTCACCTGGCTGACTGACCCTCACCCCCTCGCCTCTGAAATGCACCGAGGAGCTGCTTCTCTCTCACACTAGCAGGTGCTTTTAGCATTATTTCCCCATTTAAAACCACGGTCTGACTTTGCTCAACAAAACACTTCCCAATACTTCATTATGAAAATGCTCAAAACACACAGAAAAGTTGAATTGTAATGTGGGCCCTCAGATGCCACCACCTGGATTCTATAATTTATAATTTCATTATCTCGATCTCCTATCTGTTCAGCCATCTTATTTTGCATACATTTCAAAATAAATGCACAGGAGACTTCACCCTGTTTGTTACAGTTCTTTCTTTTTTAAATAAAATTTACTTAGAGTGAAACGCACAAATCCTAAGAGGGCATTCGCTGGGTTTGGGAGCCTGCACAGTGTTCTGGGCTTGAGTTTGAGTGTTCAGTGCGGTCATATGCCTGTGAGCGCTCATTCAACAGTGGGAGGTGTTACTGTTAAGATATGGGAACCCCCCCCTCTACGACCCCACCCCCCGCCGGCATGGCTCAGTGGTTGAACTTTGACCTATGGACCAGGAGGTCAAGGTTCAATTCCTGATTGGGGCAAAAAAATAAAATAAAATAAAAAAGATATGGGAGGCAAGACGGTTCCCAGGGTGGAGGCCAGGGTGACCCAGTGCTGTGGGAGGCAGAAGGTGGGGAGACCTGAGGAGCTAGTGTGAGGCCTACATGGAGGAGGGGGCCTTAACCTGCTCAGGAGGGGGCTGCCAGGGACTATTGCGGGGAAGAGTGGAGAAGAAAGTAACCAAGGAAAGGGGGAGGTTGTCCTGTTAGTCAGCACAATGCGGCAGCCTGAGGCGGGTGAGGCTGTGGAGATGGAAATCCCCAGAATGATAGCAGAGCCGTACTTAGAACTTAACGTGGCCAACCCTCACCACGGGCCACGAGTACCTGAGTACCTGGATCCTTCTCAGGTCTGTGACTCGCCTTCGATTGGAGAGTCAGGAGGTGCTGCTGAGCTGGGGTTCCAGCCCAGAATTGCCAACCCCTGTCCCGCAGACTCCAGCCAGGCGTCTAGGCCTCGCCCTCAGCTTCTGATCTGGGAGGACTGGGCTCTGTGGGGTCTGAGCGGCCTGTGAGGGTGGGGCTTAGGGCTCCCAGGTGATCTCAATGTGAAGTGGGGATTGAGAGCCACAGTCTCCAAGGCACAGGTGGGCATCAGGGGAGAATGTTCCAGGGGAGGCCAGAGAGGGAAGGCAGAGGCTAAATTGGGGGCACCTCCTGCTCTCTCTCCCGGGCAGCCAGGCCTGTCCCTGGCCCCTGAGCTTGGTGGGTGGCCTCCCCAGCTCAGCTGAGAGCAGCAGCTGGCTGTCCTCTTGGTCCCGGACAGCAGGCAAGGCCATGCGTCGTTCTCCTACTTCCCGAGCCCCAGTCCCTGCCCTGGGAGGTATCACGGATGCCCATGTTGACATGAACCCCTCCCAGGTGTCACTATTTGTCCCAGCACCTTCACTTCCTCCGAGGCCCTGTTGCCTGGGACAGGGTGACTGCGTCATTATCAGCCTCCAACTTTTCCTCCATCGATAACCAATCAGGAAGCCGGCAGGTGATCATCAGTCACACTGACGTTTCCCGAGGCCACCTGTGGCCAGGTGGGCAGAGGTGCCCTTGGAGAGCCTCCCTCCCCAGGAAATGCTCTCCCCTTGCCTGGGTACCATTGTTGTGTGTGTGTGTGTGTGTGTGTGTGTGTGTGTGTGTGTGTGTGACCCCTCCCCTAGAACCTAGACTCCACCAAAGCGAGGAGGAAAGAAAGGGCCACCACACTCCTCTCCTATCCCCGGGGCCTCATCCAAACCCTGGCTTCCTGCCGGTGCGTACTCCCTGCAGTGAGAATGGAATAGACGAGCAGCCCAAAACCTTAACGCGCATCTCCCTGAACTGTGTTTGGAAAATCACCTGCACACTCACCCGGAGCCGGTTCTTGCTGACAGGAAGAAGCCTTCCGGAGGCTGGGGCCCCTCGCGTTCATTCTCTGTTGCTGCCCTAAAATCACCACCCACTTAGGCGCTTCAGACAACACAAGTCCATCCTCTCGCAGCCTGTGGGTGAGAAGCCAGGCTCAGCGCGCTCCCTGGGCCAAAATCGAGCGGTGGCCAGGGCTGCGTTCCTTCCTGAGGGCTCTGGGACAGGGGTGGGCAAACTTTTTGACTCGAGGGCCACAATGGGTTCTTAAACCGGACCGGAGGCCGGAACAAAAGCATGGATGGAGTGTCTGTGTGAACTAATATAAATTCAAAGTAAACATCATTGCATAAAAGGGTACGGTCTTTTATTTCAATAGTTCTATTCATTTCAAACGGGCCGGATCCGGCCCGCGGGCCATAGTTTGCCCACGGCTGCTCTGGGATGAACCTGCCTCCAAACTCATCCAGGTCGTTGGCCAAAGTCAGTTCTTTGTGGAGGTGGGGCCTGAGCGGGGGCCCCTCTCTGCTTCTGACGGCCACCCGCACACCTCATCCTGCCCGCCTGCTGCCCTCACCCGCCCTTCTTCAATCCGAAAGGGCAGGCCAAGTCTTTCATTCTTCAGATCTCAGACTCATCCTTCAGCCACGTCACTTCTGCCTCCAGCCAAAGAACCTTCTCTGTTCTTATGGGCTCATCCGATTGAACGGGACCCACTCAGATACCCCAGATAGAGCGCTCTACTTGAAATTCTGTGACCTTAATTACAGCTGCCAAGTCCCTCTTGCCATGTAACGTCACATAGTCACATGTCCCGGGGGTTGGGGGGGATGGACATCTTTGGGGGAACATTATTCTCTGCCCACCACCCCCACCCCACCCCCCGGGAGAAGAAAGATCCCAGAATTAGGTGGACAGAGACCTGAATTGTTGTTTTTTTTTTTAAATATATTTTTATTGATGTCAGAGAGGAAGGGAGAGGGAGAGAGAGAGACAAACATCAAGGATGAGAGAGTATCATTGATCGGCTGCTTCCTGCACGCCCCACACCAAAGATTGAACTGTGACCTCTGAGATCCAGCCTCCATAGGCTCCATCCCTGCTGCCTCTTCTAGTGGCAGCTCCAGGCGGTGGTCCCTCTGGGTCACGCAGCCAGCGGAGGGAAAACCTTGGATTCACAGACGATGCTGTTTAGGGAATTGCCCTCCTCAAGACTCGAAGGAGGTAAAGGGCCCTGCTGTGTGCAAAGTGAGCGCGCAGACCTTGTCACATGGCGGCCCTGTGAGGTAGGAATGAACGACCCCCATTTCACAGATGAGGCTGTGACGCCCAGAGCCGATAGGGAAGGAGGTGCAAACAAACCAGACACCCGTGCCACCCTGGGCACCGAGCTGGTGCTTGATGCACATCAGCTTGCGGGACACTCTCTCCCAAGTTACTGTCCTCACTTCCTGGAGGAAAAACACAGCTCAGAAAGGGAAGGAGCTGCCCAAAGCTCAGCAGGCTCCCTTGTGAGGAGACCGTGCAGTCTCCATGATGGCGAGCTCCTCGGGGTGAGCTCTGTGAACGTGAGCCCCGGCTGCACGCCCACCAGTGCCCTAAAAGAGCGGCCCTCCACCCCGCTGACCAATGGGAGGAAGGGCACACCTCTATTTGGTGGAATTGCCACCCCCGTGCAACCAGCCTGCCCAAGACAAGCCAAGGAACACAGCTCCCCTATGCCCCGCCCCCCCCCCCCCCCCCCCCCCCCCCCCCCGCCCAGTAGAAATCAAGACTTGGGTTGTGGTACAACCAGGACTCTGCTGAAAGCGTATCATTTCCCGTTGCCACAGCAACATGAGCCTCTCCTTTCCCCAGGATGTGAGCAGAGCTGCTCCCTCAAGCCCCCTCAAAGTCTCTTCTGCCTCTGAGAGTCTGTGCCTCAATTATTGTCACCAATGCCCGCACTGCTTTTGCCATTTTCATTTATTCCATCTGCTGAGTCACCGAGACCTGCGCTGCTTCAGGATGGTCAGTCACCAGAACATTTGGCCACTGGTTGCCATGGACACCTCACAGCCTGCTTCCTTCATCACCTGTTAATTCTCGGCAAAGCTGGCTGTGAATGTGGGTACCACGGCCTCTTATCCAGATCGGGAGGGGCCCTGATGATGCACGAACAAAAGCAAAATCTCTAGGCCCAGCTTTGGAAAAATAAATAACAGCCTAGAGCTAGTTACATCCGTCCAAACGAGGTCAAGACAGCGATTTATCAAGCAGGCTAACCAGCCCAACTGGCTCAGTGGTTGAGCATCAACCCAGGAACCAAGAGGTCACGGGTTTGATTCCCGGTCAGGGCACATGTGGGCTGTAGGCTCGGTCCCCAGTAGAGGACTTGTAGGAGGCAGCCTATCAATGATGCTTTTTTCCCATTGGTGTTTCTCTCTCTCCCTTCTTCTCTCTCTAAAAATCAATAAAAACATATATTTAAAAAAACAAAACAAAACAACCCAGGTCAACAAGCGTTCCATTAGTTTTCTGGAACATCTTGGGCAAGCCCTTTAGTCTCTTTGCTAACCATCTGAAGAAGTATTTTTTAAAAAAATATATATTTTATTGATTTTTTTACAGAGAGGAAGGGAGAGGGATAGTTAGAAACATCGATGAGAGAGATAAACATCAATCAGCTGCCTCCTGCACATCCCCCACTGGGGATGTGCCCGCAACCAAGGTACATGCCCTTGACTGGAATCGAACCCAGGACCTTTCAGTCCGCAGGCCGATGCTCTATCCACTGAGCCAAACCAGTTAGGGCTGAAGATGTATTTTTATATTGAAAAGTGATGAATGCGTTATGTGATTACTGCCTTCCCTTGAGGCACAGGAGCCTCAAGGAATTGGCCCTGGGTAGGGTTTGCAAGAGGCGGGGATGAGGGGCAGACCTGGTGAGATGTGGGGTAGCTGCAAGCTAAATCCAGCCCAGCACAGAGGGCACCAGGAGAGGGGGTGACACTCCGGGGCTTCCAGGTAAGGGAAGGTGAAGGGGTTCACAGCCAACCAGGATGTGGCCACGGGGCAGGGAGAGCGAGGCCATCAGCCCACGGCCCATTGCTCCTGATAACCGTGACACGTCCTGTGTGCAGATGGGACAGGAGATCAATACGTCACCCTCTGATCACACCCGCCCTGATCTTCAAATATCAGTATGGGCGAGACATGCTTTCTGAGTCTGAGGTCATTCGGTCCACCTGCCTCACCTGCCCCCCAACGGGAAGTAGCCTAAAGGATGCGCACCAGACGCCTGACCCCGAGGACATGGTGGGGACATTGTTCCTGACCCCAGGAAGCCTGCCTCCTGCCTGCCCCCATGCCCAGCTGAAGAACAGCCCCTACCCTGCTTCTGCCCCTCGCCATGAAGTTCAACGCCCCTTCCTCCCCCCCGCATCCGGGTGACTGACGAAATGGCAGGGTGGGGCAGGGCCCTTCGTGCTGAGGGAGCCTGGCCTCATGGGAACAGAGGGTTTGGGAGGGGCCTAAGGGCTTTATAAGGCAGGGCTAGAGCAACCGGCCCAGCAGAGAACCGAGAGGCACCAGGCAGACCTCAGCATCACCCAACTCCCGGCTCGGCAGGTGAGAGCATCTGGAGGGGAGGGAGAGGCTGGGAAGAGCATCGATGGGGCCCCACACCCTGCCAGGCTCACACATCAGTGTCACCAGGGCTGGGACCCTCCCCTTCACCCAGGGTGGGACTGGGTCTCAGCACGAGGACCACCCTGGCTTCCCGACCCTTGCCTTCGAGCTGACCTGCTGCTTCACCAGGACCCAGCCGGGACCCTCTCACTCCATATCCCCCCCTCTCACCAGCCCTGGGAGGTGAGAAAGACAAACGCTATTCTCCCATCTCTCAGATGAGAAAACTGAGGCCCAGAGGGAGATGTGACCCAAATGACTGGGTAAGGCTGGGCCTGGAACCCGGGTTCCTGGACCCCATCTCAAGCTCTTTCCCAGACCAGCTCTGTCTGAAAGAACTTCCCGTGGCGATGGTAGTGTTCTATGCCTGCACTGTCCGATACGGTACCCACCGGCCACACGTGCACGGAAATACGGCTAGTGCAAGGGAGGACCTTTTTATCTAATTAATTAAATGTAAAGAGCCACCTGGGGCCAGTGGCTACCATATTGGACAACCCACCTGGCTAGTGTTGGGCACGGTGAGTGTGCGGGAGGTCTCCAAAGCGATCCCTGTGGTCCTTTAACACTGCTGGGTGTCCTTTTTAAAAAAGACATTTTTATTGATTTCAGAGAGGAGGGGAGAGGGAGAGAGAGAGAAGCATCAAGGATGAGAGAGATCACCCTTTCTTTTTTGTCTTTTAAATATATTTTTATTGATTTCAGAGAGGAAGGGAGAGGGATGAGAGAGAATCATTGCTCGGCTGCCTCCTGCACGCTCCATACTGGGGATCTAGCTAGTCACCTGGGCATGTGCCCTGACCCGGTATCGAACCATGACCTCCTGGTTCATGGTTCGACACTCAACCACTGAGCCACGCCGGCTGGACCCTTGGTTATTACTTTTAAAGTTTGCCTAAATGACAAGACCGAAACACCCACAGAGCTGCTCACGTGGCTTCGAATTGTGCATAACAGTTGAGAAATCGTTCCTCTAAGAAAAGCAGCCGCTGGAATTAGGGTAGGGAAGGAGGAGAGGGGCAAGGCGTGGAGGTAGGGGGAGGGGGGCACTGGCAGGAACAGTCCACAAGCCCTCACAGACTTGCACACCTGCCAGCAGGGGGGGGACCTGGAGCCCACCTGGCCCAGGCCCCTGCCCCTGGTGTCTGGACTGCCCTCCCCTAAGCTGGGCCCTGCTCCCTCTGCAGACAAGATGCAGCGGCTCTGCGTGCAAGCGCTGATCCTGGCTCTGGCTCTGGCCGCCTTCTCAGAAGCCTCCTGGAAGCCCCGCTCGCAGCTGCAGGACGCACCCTCGGGCCCAGAGGCCAAGAGGGCCCTGGAGGCACGTTGGCTGGACCAGCTGGGCCCAGCCGCTCACCACCAAAGGCAGCTGAGGTTCCCGGATCCCCCACACCCGGTGGCAGGTAGGAGCTGCGGACAGCCCTCCCTGCTTGCCTCCCCCAGCCTGTTTGGGCCCTGGCCTCGTTCCCGGGGCTCGGCGTCCTTCCCCATCCTCACCGCCTCTCCCGCCTCTGCCCCGCAGACCTGTCCAAGAAGCAGGGGCCGTGGCTGGAGGAAGAGGAAGAAGCGTATGGATGGATGGACTTCGGCCGCCGCAGTGCTGAGGAAGGGGACCAACAGCCCTAGCACCGATTTCAGAGCTCAGCCACCTCCCAGCCCAGCCCAGCCCCATGGAAAACCAACCCAAATAAACCCGCTTCCAATGGAACACATTGTGTCAAGTGTCCTGGGGTGTCCTGGGGAGGGGAGCTGGGGTAGGGTTGAGGCAGGGAGGGGAGCTGGGGCAGGGTTGAGGCAGGGAGGGGAGCTGGGGCAGGGTTGAGGCAGGGAGGGGAGCTGGGGCAGGGTTGAGGCAGGGAGGGGAGCTGGGGCAGGGTTGAGGCAGGGAGGGGAGTTGAGTACCATCTCGGGCAGCAGTTCTCAACGTGTGGGTCGCGACCCCTTTGGCGGTTGAGCGACCCTTTCACAGGGGTCGCCTAAGACCATCCTGCATATCAGATATTTACATGACGATTCATAACAGTAGCAACATGACAGTTATGAAGTAGCAACGAAAATAATTTTGTGGTTGGGTCACAACATGAGGAACGGTATTGAAAGGGCCAGAAGGTTGAGAACCACTGATCTAGGGGCAGGCACCATGGCTCATGCTTCTTGGTGTCCCCAGAGCCCAACACTGAACAAGAATCTCCTCGTGTGGTGGGAGAATAGGGGGTGGGGGTGGGGGTTGAAATCAGAGACAGCCTTTTATTTTATTTCATTTTAAAAATATATTTATATTGATGTCAGAGAGGAAGGGAGAGGGAGAGAGAGAGAGAGAAGCATCAATGATGAGAGAGAATCATTGATTGGCTGCCTCCTGCACGCCTCCCACTGGGCACAATCCTGGCACGTGCCCTGACGGGGACTCGAACTGTGACCTCCTGGTTCATAGGTCGATGCTTAACCGCTGAGCCCCGCCGGCTGGGGCAGAGAAAGCTTTTGACAAGATAAATGCAATCGTGTCACGTCAACCTCGAGTGCTCCCCATTGAGCGTAGAATGAAATCTATGCTCCGTGTCAGAGCTCCGAGAGCCCGTCTTCATGGTGGATGCTGCCATGGGGGCCACATGTCTTCCTCCCCTCTCTTCCGTTCCCCGACACAGACACTGGCTCCTTCCTGCTCAGAACCTTTGTCCTTGCTTCCGCCCACCCCACGCCAGCACGAACGTCGCTGGTTGACATGCCTCTTCCTGAGAGACCCATCCTCTGCTCCTCGCCCCATCAGTCCCTGATTGCAGCGTGCTGTGTTCTGCCGAGCACATGGCACATGTGGTGGCTTTGCTGGACGGCTTCTTGTCTCCCTCCCCAGTTAGAAGGAAACTCTGTAAGGGCGAGGACCGCGTGTCCCTCTGCCCTGCTGTATTCCCGTCGCCCCGAACAGGAGGTGCCCACTAAATATCTGTCAGATGGGCGAGTGGCTGGCGCGGGCACTTGCTGGTGTCTCACCTGCAGCCCCTCACGGTTCTGTCTGTGGGCAGCACCCTCCCACGGGCACAGCCACTCTCCGCGGGGGGCGCTCCGAGCACAGGCCGGCTGGACATGCCCGGGAGTTAGTGCCTCAGTCCACGGCGGATGAGAGCTGGAGGAGAATGGCAGTGCAGGCCCCCAGGGCTGGCAACCTTTCTCTAAAAGGGTCAGATAGAAAACATTTTAGGCTTCGCAGGCCAAGGGGCCACGTCAAGAACATTGTCTAAGTATTCAAAGAAGCATGAGGCCTAGTTTGCTGACTCCCCTTCCAGAGCAAGTCATGCCATCTGCAGAAGAGAATTACTTACATTTAAAAAGCCATCCCCGGCCCCACCAGTGTGGCTCAGTGGTTGAGTGTGGACCTAGGAACCAGGAGGTCGCTGGTTGGATTCCCGGTCAGGCACATGCCCTAGTTGCGGGCTCGATCCCCAATGTGAGGCGTGCAGGAGGCAGCTGATCAATGACTCTCTCTCATCTTTGATGTTTCTATCTCTCCCTCTCCCTCTCCCTCTCTGAAATCAATAAAAATATATTCAAAAAATAAAAATTAAAAGCCACCCCTCCAGCCTTTGAAAGTCTGGGGTCCGCATCCCGGGCTGCTGCTCCATCATCCCCCCCCCCCCCCCATGACTCCCCATCCTCCACAAGAAAATCACTGGTCAGCCTCTCCTCTTCCGTAGCACATCGTTTTACTGTCACCATGCCAATAAGGGGCCAACAGTCATACTCTTCCTGTTTGGGGGGGTCCCATCTCACCCCCCTGCCCCTCTGCCATCCCCTCCACTCCAGCCACACAGGACTCCCCACTATTGGGAAGTGTCATACTTTCATTCATTCATGAAACGGAAGCTCTGCCCAGTGGCTCCCCCACTAGCCTCCAGCTTCCAGCTTCCCGGACTGTCTCGCTGTGTTTTAAACAGCTCTGTAGCTCCAACACCCAGCATAGAACGGGTCATACAGTAGAGGGTCATTCAACTCCTGCTGAGTAGATGTTTGTTGAACTGGATTTGACCTGCTCATGAAAAAGCAGCCCTGAGGTCCCTGGGAGTTTGGGGTAAAGAAGGAGGGCAGGGAATGGAGCAGACAAAGAGAGAGGAGAGGGACCCTCCAGGTCCCCAGGTGGTGGCACCATCTAGATCAAGCATATCAAACTCCCAGCCTGCGGGCTGCATGTGGCCCACAACGAATATTTTTGCGGCCCAGCCGATATAACGGTATGTAAGAAACGTTTTAACAAAAATGTTGTAACTTAATTTTTACAATATCCTGTTACAGATAATTATCAATAACGAACTACAACGTTCGCTAATGACTGATGACTATAGTCGTGTTGCATTCATTTTCCTTACGCATCTTATGCGCAGGCGCACCATTTCTCTCCACTAATACTAGCAGCGAATATTTTAGCAGCCGATGGCTACGTCATTAGTCTTGTACTGACTTGTTTGGTGTGCACAACAGGAAATATTTTGCTTTCGGAGAACAAGAAAAATAGGTTTATTTGTGTTATGCTTATTAATGTGTGCAGCTATTCAGTGTCTGGTAAGTTAATGTTCAAGAAAAAATATTAATTTTTATTAAAATGTTTTATTATTTTAAGTTAATGATGACTCATTTATTTCAGCCTTTTGTATTCAGCATGTCTCTATTGAAATAAACTTACGTTTCTATGAAAATTGAAGCTTTTGGCTTTTTGTAGTCCACCTAAATGTAAACCTTGTTTATTTGGCCCCTGTTAGCCTTTGAGTTTGACATGCTTGCTCTAGGTTCAGACACTGTAGCCCAGCAACTCCAGCTCCAGCCACCAGAGGGCAGTGTCAGCCCACATCTCACCGCTCTCCAACTCCCTCCTAGGCAGGGCCGGTCACCCCACAAAAGAGGCGGAGTCTGCAAAGTGACCCATTTTACAGACAGAGAAACCAAGGCTCAGACCCTGGGTCACCCTTCAGGTAAACATGTGGGCCCAGCAGGTAGGCGTCTGCCACAGCCCAGGAGACCTGGCAGGCTCCCCTGGAGCGGTGCCTTTCAGCCTTGCTCCCCTTCCCACCCTGCTGCTGCTGCTCTGACCCCAGAGGTCAGCAGAGCAGATCCCCTAGGCCTCCTGCTCTCCCTCCCTTCCAGTATGTCCCCTCGAACTTCTGCTGGGCCAGAGAGAGGGCAGAAGGAGGCACCCCTTCCCCCCCCCCCCCCCCCCCCCGCCCTCCCACCATAGCCTTGAACTGGAGATACCATCACCCTGATGCCCAGCCCTGGGCAGCCTCTCCTGGCCTGACCTTGGAAAAAGTCACCTGGTACAGGGTATCCCATGGCAAGAGTCCCTGAGGGTCAGTGCCCAGGGTCTGGGCAGGGCCAGGCACCAGAACTACCTTCTGCATCCAACTGGGGAGCAGGACAGAGAGGGTGCCCTGGACAGGGGACAGGGGAAATCCGCCCCCGCCCCCCCCCCCCCCCCCACTCCTGCTTGTCTCCTGCAGGCCTCAGGGGAGCCCTCCTCTCTCTCCTGGTTCCTCTTCCACCACCCACCCCAGCACCTGGGCATCTCCACCCCTGAGGGCCCCCTCTTTCTTTTACTCTCCCTCTCAGGACCTTGGCCAGACTCCTGGGGCGCTAACCCCCTCTGAGCCTTTCCCCTGGCCTGGGACAAGGGTATGGAATGGGTTGGGGACCTGAGACTCTCAGCCTGCTGTCCTCTGTTTTCTAGGGCCCAGCTCCGAACTTCTAGAAAAGGTCTTAAAAGGGGGAGAAAATGGGAGAGATCTGTAATACCATCAACAATAAAAAAATATAGTAAAAAAGAAAAAAAGAAAAGGTCCTAATTTGAGTCCTTTCCCCAGAGGGTGAAGCTTCTCAGTGATTAATGAGTAACTGCTCTTTGGTAGAAATATGTGCTTCCAAAATAAATAAACACTGCATTTTGGAAGCTGCCCCATAGTTGAATTTGAATGCATGTCAAGCTATCAGCTCCCAGGAGGCCAGGATTAAATTCTGGGGAGCAAGACGTTTCCTGTCCAGCTTCCCTGGTGGCCGGGGCTTGTGAGGCAGGAAAAACAAACAAGGAATCTGAATCTGCCGGGTCGGTTCCCGCCTGTGACCAGGAGAGGGTGCAATCTGAAAACCTATGTCCGCATCCACATCCCCCCACACAAGGCCTTTCTGTTTTGCACACTGAGGTCAAAGGTCCCAAGCAGGACTGGAAGACGACCAGATATTGTCAAAGACCGTAATTCAAAACCTGAACATGTGTACACTTCTGGGGTGTATTTCTTTGGGAGGGCTCGGTGTATGTCGGGGTGGGGGGTAAGGGTGGGGTGGGGAGGGGGCGAAGAGGGGGGAAGAAATCTCATGTGTAGGCCCTGGGAATCTCAGGGGCAGCTTCCCGTGTTGCCTTAGAGAAGGGCAGGCAAACAAAGCCCCGTTATGTGGCGGTAAACAACAAGCCGGGAAGGATTGGGAGGAGGATTTTAATCCCTTTTCTAGAGGGACCGGCTTCATGCTCACTGTTCCTTGACCTTTCTCGCTGCCCTGGAGGAAAGGCGCTTCCTGACAGGCACAATGGGACCGTTGGAGCATTCTTGTTCTCTTGGAATTTATGAATTGGAAAGGGTTGTTGAGGACATTTGGTCCCGGCTCTCCCCAGCGCAGGAATGGACCTCATTAGCAGAGACGCCATCTATTTTGCAAACCTCACAGGGGGTCCAC